TGATTACTTTGTTTTAGACGGAATCATTTTCAATTATTTCTCCTAAAAAATCCACCAAGGGTACCGTTTATTCATTCTTTCATGTTTACTTATTCATTCTTTCATATTTACGCCATATTTTAATCTTGTGGAATGATCATTTTTAATCCATAATAATTTTAAATTTGGAAGTGAGTATTAAATAGTGATTGTGGCAATAAGCTTCATGAGCAAGTGGAGAGAACTCAATGACCAAATAGCACAATAATATAAAATTAAGTAGCATTTATCAATAAGTTGTTAACTTTTCAAAGAGAGTTTGACATCAAAACATGACAAGGATCTTTAAAGATAAAATTGCAAATTTGGTCCTTGTGGTTTGAAAAAAACTATGGATACGATCTAAAAGGTTTTGGACTTATATGGTTGGTCCAAAATCAAGAATTTTACGTGGTTTTGATCCCAAAATTAAGATGTTCCCATGGTTTTGGTCCCTGGAAAACCTGAATGGATGGTTTTGCCCTTTTAATATCTTTTTTACATTATTTTTACAATTTTTAATGTTTTATAGTTACAAAATAAAAGGAAATATACAAATACAAAAAATACACACCCCACCCTTACCCTAACCCCAGTCCACTGTATCATCTTTCTTTCTCTCTCTCTCTCTCTCTCTCTCTCTCTCTCTCTCTCTCTCTCTCTCTCTTCTTCTTCTTCTTCTTCTTCTTCTTCTTCTTCTTCTTCTTCTTCTTCTTCTCATTCTTTAAAACCTGCAAAAAACATAAACCCACTTGAAGATTGAGTGTAAGCTTCATTGCAACCCACCATTCCTCCATCCCTATTTCTTCGTTAGAAAACCCAAACAAAAACAACCCCACCGGGGACTGCCACCTCCAACCTACAACTTGATCAAAAACACCCACACACATTAAGAATCGATCTGTCAAAAAACCAACAAAAGCTTACCTTAAAAGCTTTAATTTGTCTGTAGTACAACCAAATCGCCGATGATGGTCGTGTTATGGCTCTCCAACGTACATATTTGGTGGCTGTCTGATAATGGTGGTGGTGGTGAATAATGATGGTAGTGGTGTGGCTCTCCGGCAACCAAATTCTTTACCTTTGATGAACGATGGTGATGGTGCTGGTGGGTTTGATTTTCTTAGTTCTTCCTGATTTTAATCTTGATTTCACAACTGCGTCAAGAACAAATCAAGAGGCGCACTTGATTCTCGAAATCCCAGACTTCACTCATACGAAATATGTCCTTATAAAAATCGAAACCCTAACCCACCCTATCACTCCACTTACAACCCAGATTGGATTAACTCCAAATCAAACAATGGATTTGTTTGATTCACTAGAAAACACATCTAGCCATCACAAAGAGAACTCATAGGGCGTATCACACCAAATCGAGCAGCAATTAGGATTAACTCCAAAATTGTAATAGGTTTGAATCAGGGGGCAGCAGAGCAGTTCGATTTGCTGGATTTTCACAAAATCGCAATAGGCTCCAAAATCTTAACAACCGATCACTTCATCTTCCACGGGTTAAAGTTGTTAACAGTTAGAAGGGTTTTCTCAAAAGCTTCATGTTTTGGGTTTTTGATTTGCTTTGTCTGTATTCAAATTTTTGGGTTTCTAGAAAATCTGGTTTATCAACAAGAAGGGGAAGAGAGGGGGGGGGGGTCCAAGTCTGGTGGGGTAGAGATATGGTGGGATTTTTTAGTTTTCTTAATTCTAGAAATATAAAAATAAATATTAGAAAATATAAAAAAGAAATTAACAGGGTATGATAGTCTTTTCACATTTGTAAGGGACCAAATCCACAAGAAAATTTTCATTTTGGACTACTGGTGCAAGTTGAAATCTTCTTGGACCTCATCCATAATTTTTGACAAACCATAGGGACCAAATTTGCAGTTTTGTCATCTTTAAATGTGTCACACTTACCACATGTATTTTTTAATCTTGTGGAATGAGGATTAGGGATGAGATTTAGAACCGGATCGGAATCGGAACCGTTAGAACCGGAATATATAAAACCAGTTTCGGGTTTAATAATTAACTTTATCCGGGTTTCGGGTAATTCGGGTTTGGGTCCATCGGGTCAGGGTAAACTGGGTTTTATAACCTGAACTGGTGTTAGAAACCGAAACCAATTTTAGGGCTGGAACTGGTTTTTGTGAAACGTTTAAAAGATGCATATTTCATTTGTTTCAACTCCGATTTGATGTTTCCGGGTTTTTCGGTTCAAGACCCACTTTATCCGGTACTGTATACTGGTTTGGTTTCCGGTTCTAAAAAATCTTGTTAACCGATTCCGGGTTTTCTGGGTTCGCGTCCATCCGGTCTGGGTTTGGACCCACTTTCATCCCTAATGAGGATGATCATTTTAATTCCATAATAGTTTTAAACTTGGAAGTAATGTATTAAATGGTGATTGTGATCAATAAGCTTCATAAGGAAGTGGAGAGAACTCAATGCCCATAGCACAACAATATACAATTGAGTAGCATTCCAAGTAGCATAATAATATACAATTAAGTAGCATTTATCAATATATTGTCAACTATTCAAAGAGAGTTTGACACATATATTCAAGACATGACAACAAGGATCATTAATCAAAATTATATAAATATTATATTTATAGAAGTATAAATTCATTTTAAACTTAGGAGGAAAATACAAGTAAAACACAAGGAAATATTGTGTTAAAAATCAATATTTTTCAAATGGATTTCAGTTGATGTTTTCATAGAAACAAACATATAAACTATAATATGTGTAGTTATGGAACAAATGTACTATTTTACAAGTTCTGGTTACAGTACATAAACAAATGTATACACTATAATAGGTATAGTTTATGGAATAAACCTACTATTTTACAAGTTCTGATTACATTACATAAACAAACATATAAACTATGATAGGTATAGTTTATGAGAAAAGCTTACAGATTATCTATTACAAACTAACTTTTCATTATTCTACATGTAACCATCAATACATATCATTTGTGAGACACTCTTCAAGTACTTATTTGAAGTACCAACCAAGTCCTGAAATTATAATCAGAGTCTCCTGGAGGGAGAGCGTGACGCTTGTATATAGATCTATATGGGACTGACAAACTCGCACCTTAACTGTTCGCTACAGTTAGGCCGACAGGCCTGATGTGACAAATGTCATACCAATTAGAATGCCTGAAGAACGGCATGTTCATGCATTCCGATGTCATCAAGTATGGTTATGATAACTCACAATTTGGTATTGAACTATACAATTAGTGTATGAATAAGTAAAAAACTTCTTTTAGTTTTAATTAATAATAAAACTATAATACAACATTTCACAAGTATATTTGGTAACACTAGACGATTACAAATACATGGTTTACATACAAGTACAAACACAAAATACTATTCCAGTTCAAAGAAAACATACTTTTCATGGTTTTATGTGAACAAAAATTTAGTTATACTATTTCATAGTACAATAACAATTACATGTTTTGAGTACAACATATTACAATAGAAAATATAGGATTTTCTAGGAAAACACACTTACATTTTTAAACAACAGATTTCAGTTACAAACATGTAATTGTTATTGTACTATCAAAAACTAATTGTATTCTCAAGAAAACATTAAGCAGGTGCGCACAGGTTTTGAAGAAGATAAGCTTCATAAACTCATGTCTTTAAAACTTTTTATATATGATAAGTTTAAAAACTCTTAGATCGATTAGATCTTTCACAAGCACGATTATAGAAATCAAACAATTCAAAACAATATGAGAATCAACACAGATCTGAATCAAATGTATGCTTATGATTCAAAACAGAGTCACACCTCAGCAGAGCTCGATGAAGAACTTCCGCTGTAGAGGCGAGCTAGGGTTTACAAAACTATGAAATAAATAAACAATCAAAAGCCCTCCCACTAAGTCTGCATGCATGCAGCTTATATACTAAACCCTAGTACAAAAATATGTACAGTTGGACAAGCCCAATACTGACATTCAAGCTAGGCTAAGGACCGAGCCCATGACACAATCTAACAGACCCAACAATCTCCCCCTTTGCATCAAATGAGGCGAGAGATTACTTCCTCTGAGTGGGCTTCACTGTCTTTATTACTTTAAACAAATGAGGAATTATGGCGAGAAGAGTCTATCTAAATTGTATGTACCACCTAAGCATGTCAGTAAATAATTTTTTTATCAGCAGCACTGTTTTGATCGCACCTCTGAATGATCTCCAAGATATGCTCAAGGCAAGTCGTTGAGAAGACGTGTTTGTCGACAAGAGCGAACAAACATTTTTGACCTTCGCCCCTGAGGAACATAACTGTGTGATACCTTGAGTCGATTTTCCCCTTGATCATGGTATTGACATTGCCAGCTCTGCCCATAATCTTGATCGTTGTTCGATTGTGTATGGCAGACACAATCTCCTGGTCCATCTTCGCTACGTCATGTATGTAGCAAACAATCATACGCGTGACATGATCAATTATTGGCTGATACTCCAGAGGATTCGACAGAAGAATGTTAATGAGGAGTATCCAGTCATGAGGGTAAAGGTTTGGTAGATCAGCGAGGGTAAAATGGCAGACCGAGCCTTCGGTTCCTCGAGTCACCCTGAATTTGACATTAATAAAATTCCCTGCTGAATAGGGCTTCATTACCTTGACTATGATTATTTTCTTTGAGCTCCAAGTCAGGTATTGGGGTTGAGCAAACTCCAAGTAAAATTCCAGAAGATCCCTATCTACCTTCGGGTCTGGGGAAGGAATAGCAGCAGTTGAGTTGAAGTAGTGGAAGATAAATGCCTTTCGAGTGATTAGCATATCGAACTGTGCATCCTTGGAATTTTCAAGACCAAAGGACATTATTGGATCAAGCCAGAGAATGCTTGGCTCATCAATTGCACATCTTTGAAGCGAGTCTATTGTCCACACATGAAACATGAACTTTTTCTTCTCTAGGAGCTCCGCCTCCTTTCGCTTCAGCTCCAGCTCAGCTTGCTGTTTCTTGATGTTTTCTTCCATTTCTTTTTCAGAAGTCTTAACCTTCTGGAAGGGATTCTTGGGATTCTCAGCATAGACATCATCTTCATTATCTGTATCGTCATCGCCAATTTTCTTCTTCTTTTTGTCTTTGTTGCTGACCGAAGCTTCATTACCCTTCGGTCTAGCAAATGGTTTTGATCCAAAAGGAGGAGGTTGCGATGTCACTTTCTATCCCCCTTGTTTTGGTTGGACCCCGATTACCAGAACACCCTCGATACGGATAAGTATATCCAATGCCAGTCTGAGCTTGTCTACCAGATGACGCCTGACAGTTATAGTGATGACCGGATCATGAGCCTCAATAAGATGAAGAAGGATGGAGTGAACATCTGCAGCAGAACTCCTAATGACTTCCCTTTCTGACATGAGGTCATCAATCTCAGCATTAACAGTATGCAACTTGTGAGTTTGCAATTTAAGCTGGGCAGTACGTCTGTCGAGCTCATCCATAATGCGATTCTCCACAGCTAACTCCGCTTCCAGTTGAGTTAAGTGATCGTTGACATTAGCATGGAGCATTTCGTTGGCTTGTTGAATGGCTTGGCGTGCCGCTTCAAGGTTCGATCGCTCAGATTGAAGAGACCTTTGAAGGTTCTCTAGTGAAGCGTTGACAGTTTGAGCGTTTTTGGCAGCAACAGCCTGCAAGGAATCTAGAAATATATGAGCTTCGGAGACTAGTTTATCGACTTTTGCGGTCGCTTGCTTGCACTCCTTAGTAGAGGCATCAACAGCAAGAGAGGCCTGTTGACATTGGGAAGTGGAGGCTTCTATTGCCTTGGCTGCAGCAGATAAAGTAGCACTGTGTTCGGTGACGATCGAGAAGAACAAGGCCTTCAAGGCAGCTTCAGAATAGGCACCAGAGGAAGAGGATGAAAGCAGTTGATCAAGCTTTTCGTTTACTGCCTTTAGATGCTGTTTTGTAACAGGCTCATCGTCATCATCATCGCTTTGCACTCGATAAGGACTGAAATATGTCGAATCGAATTCCAAATCCTCACCACCCAGAATAGGGGTTGTTTCAGCAGATTGAGTGGGAGATAAGGGTTTGGAAGAAGGTGGAGGTTCGGTTGTGACAGGAAGTTCGGTTGCAGGTGGATTAGGAACAGTAGAGTGAGGTTTTGTGGTAGTGGTGGTATCTGTGAAAATGGGAGTAGGAATAGGAATTGTAGTGAATGGTTGAGAGGTGGTAATTGGAGAGATAGGAGGGATGGAAACTGGGATTGTTACAGGTGGAGGTGATGGAGGATTACAGCGAACTGAAATTTCTGGGGTAGGGGAGTGAGGCGGAGTATCACCTCGGCCCGAAGCCTCATCTTCTGAGCTTTTGCTCTCAGATTCCGATGGAGGAGTGTTCTTGTGCTTAGGAGGGACATATTCTGAATTGCTTGAAGATTGCAGAATAAGTCTCCTAGCAGGCTTCTTTTGCTTTTTCAGTTGAGCCTGAGAAGTGGCAGCTTTATCAGATTTTCGCTTCTTGGGGGTTTGCCCTTTGGTTTGCTTAATGACCGGTTCTCCCTTCTGTGTTTCAGGCTTCTTGCCCCTCTTGGATGGCTTGTCAGCCTCTTTAATGGACCGAACAATTGCCGGTGTAAGCTCTCTTGGGCCAAAAAATGGATACTTCCTATACTGTTGAAGAACGTTACTCGACTCAGAAATACGACTGAGCATTGTTTCAGGAATGGATCCAACAAACAAAAAATTTGTTGGATCAGTAATGATGATTTTTGTCGTATGAAAGGTAGCAATGGATGAGAGCAAGGAGTCCGCCATTATTGGAACATGAAGGCGGTCCATTGCCCAGTTGGTGATGAGAGACCAGAAACGCCCACAGGAGATTTCAGAATGCCTAGATGAAGAGACCAAGCTTTGGACCAACTGATGCCAGATAATGGACCCATAATCTAGGTCAATTCCATTGTATAACCCATACAGTACCATCATGAAGGATTTTCTTGCACCATCGGAGCCAGCGCTTCGCTCAGATAATCCCTTGAACAACAGCGTAAAAAGGCCATCCCATTGAGGAGGAAGGCAGGACTTCTTGAACTTCATAATGGTGGTTAGGGTTTCAGTATACCCCATCTGATAGAACATGGAAAACAATTGACCAGTTGTAATGGAGTTAGGGTTTACCAGAGATGAATCTTGAGAAAGACCGATTAGGGCACATAATCGATGCTTGGAGATGGAGGTCTTCTCATCGTGGAGTTCAAAGTGAATTCGTTCATTAATCCTGTCACAGAAGGCAATAGAGTAGACAAGAGACAAGCATGAAATGGGAACAACTTCAACTTTAGTCAGTGCGTCGACGAGTAGTGAGTATTTGAGACACTCAACCACATACAACATATAGGGCTCATAGATGAAGGGAGTGAGATCGATGATCAGATTCTGTTGGGGTTTGATGGAGAGAAGAGGTTGACGGACTGAAGTATCGTGAACTGATGATGAGTCTGCCATTGTTGCAGCTTGAAGAAGATGATGAATAGTTGCAGAGAATCACCGGTGTTATTTGAGAGATTTTGGGAAGTGATAAACGTTGAGAGAGTAGCGTTCCAATTCCTTTTATACGTACAAGGAAGAGAGAGAAAAATTTGGCTGAAATCTTGGATTATTTCAAAAATAGCGCCTGACTTGATAAGTGAACAGTTGGCATGCCGAAGATGACGCAGGAAAGAGAAAAGACGTTTCCTTTTTACATGCTCTTTCATTAAATGCACTTTTTTCAAATTGCCAAACCATTTGGATAGCCGCTGAGTCAACTTCCACTTTATCCCAATCGTTTCTCCATATAACATTTGAATCTTTGTTGCCCTTAGCATTTTAATGATCATTCTGAACAAAACTAGAATTTGGAAAATTAAAAATTTTCGTGCATAGGGTGTAAAAGATAAAGAAATAAAACAAAATTTTAGGGATAATCTGTGATGTCGTAAGCAGACATAAGACAATTGATTCTGGGCAAAAATCACTTCCTTCAAAGTCAAGAGAGACATTAAAGTGCTTGCTTGGTTTCCCATTGAATAACGATCAAAAACTTGTTGAGAAGTTTTGAAAGGCATCTTTTGAAGATTAAAGAGGGTGGATTTCGCTGCAATTCATAATTTCGATACTTAACATAAGACCGAAACTAAATGAAGTACTTGTGAGATCATTGTGATCTGTTGAACAAGTAGGTATGATAAACTTTATAGTGACGAGGGAAGGAAGAAATCTCAAAAAAAATATTAAACTGGATCTTTTAGGGTTAGAGAAGCCTTGGTGAAAGGCAAACTCATAAAGATCATTCAAAAGAAAAAAGAGATTTCATAGGGTATCAAGTAAGATCTTGAATTTGTGAATTCACCGTCAATTCATTAGTGATGTTGAACTTTGGGTTTCACTTAGTACATAGCTGCATGAAACTAAGATCATGAACACAGACTTGGTATAACCATAAACCTCAGTGGTTAAGACTGAAAGTCTCAGGGGTTATATTGATGAAACGAGTTATAGTGGAGAAAGATGATGAAGATGGTATAAGAAGCGAATGTACCTCTGCTTTAAAGAAAATAAGGACCAAGCAGAAAACTCTAAACTCAATTTGAGTAGAGTAAGGTAGCTCATGATTAGAGTGAATTAGATAGCCTGGATTGGGAAAACACGATTGGTATATATCATGTTATTAAGGCTTCACTCAAAATCTGTCGAGGCTTTAGTCAACATACAACAGCATGCTTCTAGGGACTCCTAACTAGTAAAACCATTACCTGCCTTAGCATTGCCATCGAGAATCATTTTTTAGACAAAAAAATAAAAACAATATATATATTTTTTTGAATTTTGTGAGAATTGACCAATTGAACGAAAGAGAAAAATATTTTTGGATTTCTTAAGTATTTTTATAAAAAAATATATTTTTGGGATTTTATAAGTAGAAAAGAAGTAATGAAAAGATGTACATAGGAAAACAATTGAAATGCCTTAAAAAAGAACGAGTTCAGAAGGACCGAACCCGAAATAGACCGAACGCTCGGTTCATTTCAGTTCATGATCGAACTTCACCCGAAATAGACCGAACCCAAAATAGACCGAACGTTCGGTTCATTTCGGTTCGCTCTATTTCGCTTGTTACCTTTATGGAAGCGAAGGCGATTTCGGTACTGATTCGACTTGTATCATTCCTAGGCCTTGTAGAATCTTATTGAAGCTTGCTTTAGGTAAGGCCTTCGTGAATATGTCTGCCAACTGATCAGTCGTTCTGACGAAGTGAATTTCTATGTTACCATCTTCGACGTGATCCTTCATGAAATGATACCTCAGTGCTATATGCTTAGTCTTCGAATGTTGCACGGGGTTGTGACAAATCCTAATTGCGCTTTCAAAGTCACAATACATCGGATTTTCTTCATGTTTAGACCATAATCCCTGAGTTGATTTTGTATCCATGCGACTTGAGATGTACAGGATGCTGCAACGATATATTCAGCTTCTGCAGTGGATAGTGAAACACAGGTTTGTTTCTTCGATTGCCAACTGACTAATTTACCATCTAGAAATTAACATCCTCCTGTGGTGTTTTTACGATCTAATCCACAGCCTCCTAAATCAGCATCTGAAAATGCTTGAACAAAGAATCCTGAGTTGGCTGGATACCACAGACCGAGAGAGGAGGTTTGCTTCAGATAGCGAAAGATATTCTTCACGGCTTGAAGATGAGGTTCTCGTGCCTTAGCTTGAAACCGCGCACAGTAGCAGACAGAGAACATGATATCAGGTCTACTGGTTGTAAGATACATCAGAGACCCAATCATCTGTCGATAAAGTGTTATATCAGCTGCTGGTTTCTCCAATGATGGTGTGAGTTTAGTTCCAAAAGCCATAGGCACTTTCACTTTGGAGTCTCCCATCATTCCAAACTTGGTTAGCAAAGTCTTGGTATATGCTTCTTGATTAATAAAAATGCCTTCGAGTCTCTGTCTAATGTTCAATCCAAGAAAAAATTAATTGGACCCATTGAGCTCATCTTAAATTTAGTTTCCATCAACTTTCTGAATTCAACTGTTAAGCTAGGATTCGTGGAGCCAAAGATGATGTAATCAACATAAATTTGGACAATCATAAGGTGGTTACCTTCTCGCTTACGAAAGAAGGTTGGGTCAACCGAACCTTGTTTGAATTTAGACATTTTTAAGAAACGAGTGAGAGTTTCATACCATGCTCTGGGAGCCTGTTTTAGGCCATATACAGCTTTGTCAAGGATATAACAATGATCGAGATACTTCTCGTTGACGAAGCTTGGTGGTTGCTCAACATATACGGTTTCTTCAAGTTCACCGTTGAGGAAAGCACATTTGACGTCCATTTGATAGACTTCAAAGTTCTTGTGAGCAGCGTACGCAAGAAAGATGCGAACAGATTCTAATCTTGCTACGGGAGTGAAGGTTTCTTCATAATCGATTCCCTCTTCCTGACAATATCCTTTGACGACCAGCCTCTCTTTATTACGAATGACATTCCCCTCTTTGTCCATCTTGTTTCTGAATACCCATTTGAGACCGACAACCGAAGCATCCTTTGGAGTTGAAATAAGGCGCCATACCTTGTTTCGTTCAAACCCGTTTAAATCATCCTGCATGGCTTAAACCCAGTCTAAATGATCAAGAGCTGAGTTAACGGTTTTTGGTTCAAATTTGGAAACGAATGAATTGAACATGCAAAACTCAACTTTTGAAAAGAGTGCAGCCTGTTTCGCTTTGATTTAAGAGCGAGTTAACACTTTTTCTGAGGATTCCCCAATAATTTGACTTTGAGGGTGATCTTTGGTCCATTTGATAAGTGGAGGAAACTTTGGATCAAAGATAGGATCCAATTCAACATTGATTTCTTCCTCTAGTTCAGATAGAATGTCGTCATCACCAATATTGGTGTTCTCCCCCCTCGAAGAATGATTCTTGTTCAGGACCAACATTTGTATCCCCTTCATTGGTTGGAATTTCAGTAGAGCTTAATGTATTTGGTGATGAGTTCTCCCCCTGGAATGAAGATCCTTGATCGCGATGAGTAAAGGAACCCTCCCCCTGGATATTAGGACGGTCACCAGAAGGTTCGCTTGTGTTTGCACCTTCGGTTTCTTTGGATTGATCATTAGCCATCTTCTTAGCAGCATCGTCTATAACTTGTTTCAGATTATCAACATTGTTGTCTTTTGCAGTTGATTCAGAGTCAATCGCCTTTTGAGGCTCATCAAACAGGAGCATGAATTGGTCGAAAAGATTCGAGATAGAAATAGTAACCTGACCATTCTTTGGAAATATGTCTTGCGATGCATCTTCTGTTGATTTCATTTTCTTAACATAACTATCGTCAAAGGTGACATAGTACGTTTCTTCAATCTTCTTTGAGCGTTGATTGAGAACTCTATACGCCTTGGAGTTCAGGGAGTAGCCTAAGAAAATTCCTTCATCCGCCTTAACATTGAACTTGTTTCGATTCTCTTTGGAGTTGAAGATGAACCATACTGAACCGAACACATGAAAGAATTTCACGTTTGGTTTTCGATTGTTCAGGATCTCGTAAGGGGTAATTGAGAACTGCTTATTCAAGTATGATCTATTTTGAGTATAACATGCAGCCACAATTGCATCAGCCCAGAAATACAAAGGTAAGGACGCGAAGCATAACATAGT